GAATCCCCTTATCTTTTTCCTCTGTCCACAAAATGACACTAAAGAAAATAGTGCAAGGGGCATACCAGAGGATGTCGCAAACCTCACAGAGAAGAGACAAGACTGAAGTTGACAGGCTGTTAGGGAGCAATTATTCCTTTCCCTCCACCTGAAACATTAAGAGGCAAGCTGATGCCATATCTGACGTGTGTTGTCATGGACTTTTCAAACTGGGATGCACAAACTGGAAAATACATCCGATATATTTTCTGTGCAAACCTTCCCTCAGCTCCAAATGCTAATATTGGCAACTTTGCTCATTATGCAAAAAGGACCTCAACTCTCTCAACTGAGTCTCTGTGGCTTCCGAGTCACCAATCTCCACACTTCTAGTCTAACCAAACTCACTCCCACTGTCAACGACCCTCCTAAAAGTCTGGTCACAGTACTTCTTTCTCACAAACTACAATTTCCTACCACCTTTAAAATGAAGACAATTCCTCCAAAATGTTTCAATTCTAATCAACTCTTTAGTGTTATTTCCCATTATATTCTCTCTTCACATGCCCAGGCTGATGCCAGGCCATTCTTTATTCCTTGCCGATGTACACATTTTTAAAACTCCTTGCCTGTCTCTTAACCTACAAATGTCCTTCCTCTCCAAATCCTCCTCCAAAAGGAGGCTCAGAAAATGCCTCCTTTGCAAAACCCTCATTTCCTCTAACCCTCTGTATGCATCCCTTTAGCATGGTTCTTGCTCCTCTACAAAACACGTATTTCAATCAGGCTGACCAGATTCTGAGTGTCAACCATTTGTGTGTCTTTCCTCACTCCCAGCTTCCAACACAGGGTCTTAAGATATATACACATTCATTAACTGGTGAAATAAAATGTTAGAAGCCTAACATTTACAAAAAATATTCGCAGTTTAAGTTTCATATATAGTCCAGAGACATATTGGTGTATTAACTGTAAAAGCTAAAAGTTTTGTTTTAAACCACAAAATCAGTACGATTTATTTTTTATTCAAAGTTAATGGACCTTTTAGGGAATAATACTAAAATAAATACAGTATCTAGATTAACAAGGACGAATTACTCTTATTTGGTGTCGCTGCGGGGGTTATGACTGGGTGGAAATGAACATTCTGACATCTGCTTTTGTCACCATCTCTCACCGGAGGCCTCTCCAATGATTTTATGAAGCAGAGTGCACCATGCCAGCAACCACATTGTCTGATGGAGCAGGAGTGGTAAGGCAAATACCTGCCCCTGTCCTGTCCTTTCCTCAGAGCAGAGAAATGTGTGAAGACAAGGGTGGGGACAACACGGATATGAGGATTATCTGAAGCAAGAGTTGAGCAAGATGGAGGAGTGCCATTGTGCAGAGGTGGAATACATGTGGAGAGTGACCCCGATACACACATAGCAGCCTGCCCAATGCAGGCAGAGAATGTATGCACGGCAAAAGCTGGAAACACACTCAAAGCTCAAAGCCTGGGTTTTGAAAGAGATCCTTTTTAAATACTTATTTTTGCCACATGTCCATGATGGCTGCTCTCTCAAATGGTTACCAAGAACTAGGTTAAGGGCATTGAAGCAAATTCCATTTTTTAGATAGTTTCTCCAGTAATTTCACACACCAGAAGAGCAAGACTAGATAAACCAGAAAATCAGGGTAATAGTTTAGACTCCTTACAAACTGTAGAAAAACCAAATCTAAGAAACTTGCCCTAGTATTATCCCATTTATCCCAATGCACAAGATATCTTAAAATTGCCTGGAAAAACTTTTATCTAAATATTTAGATTTTTAATGAAAACTCTTAATTTCAGTTTCATACCACTTTTTTTTTGTTTTTTATTTAAAATATTATAACCAATGAACATACTAGATAACATTGTTTACATTCCAGTGGTGCATGTTTAATGACTAGGGCATGAATGATTAAAAACCACAATAATTATCTCAGCATTCCCTACAAAGTGCCCCATTTTGTTTTGTCTAGAGGAGAGGAGAGGGAATGGAACACAGGGAAGAAAGTGGAACAAAGAAGGAATGGCATCATATAGGGAGAAAAGCAAATGTTACATCGTTATCACACTTAGGTTTTCAGGTTTTAAAACCTGTTGAACAGGATAAACTGTAATGAGAAAATAGATGTCACAGTCCAGGTAGACAGCTATTTCAATTTAACTTCATCATTCGACTAAAAGATTAAGAGCTTCTCAAAAATATACCAAATATCAGGCCTACAAAAGTAATTTATTTCTTCGTAAAATTTACTAAGATTTATTCCTTTTGTAAAATGTAAAGAATGGACTGATATTACGAGCAGGTTTCTACTTACAAAACAGACAGTAATAATGTCCGACAAGCACATCTAACACAATTTTCCAAGATATACAGTCAAAGATTTTACACATGATTCTCTCTTACTTATGGAAGGTATATATTTTACATACTTACTGGTATTGTGTCGACATTGGCTATAAAGTATTTAACATACATTTATAATTCACACTCAGTAAAGATCTAACAGTAAGGGCAACAGCTTACTTGGGAAAGCATAGAAAATTAGTGTGAGGTAGTTCAATAAAAATCTAGTTTAATTTGTAAGTTATTGTGAGAATAGAACATTGTGCAAAACTAATCCACAGGTAATATTTCTCAAAAGTTTCAGTAATGAAGAGAATCTAAACCAGGAATGGCCAGAAAGTGTTACTCTTACTAGACTCTCCCTAAGAGCACTTAACTAAGAGCAGTTAGTTTGAAATTAGGACTTGTTTTCCTTACTAGTTTTGTAATCATACCCCAAACTATACATTTCTGCTTCAATGCCCTTTACCTCTTCATCTTTCTTGCTATTAAGGAAAAATCCATTTCCTCTAATTCAGGAAAAACCTAAGAGAGATCAGTAGAAACACAATGTATACTAAAATGTAAAGGATAAGGAAGCAACATTTAAGAGGGCTGCTAATGAGAGAATGGTGGTGTTTGGTTTTTCTACCGGTAAGAGAGGTTTACTGGGGTCATGGGGCTTCATGCATTCACTCTATAGCTAATGTGACCAATGAACAACACTCACAAACTACAACAGTATTTTTGAAAATGGACTATGTTTTTACCTCAGAATCTGCAGGCTTGTGCCTAGGCAACACTGAGTAATTAAGTGATCAGATGTGTAGCACATACTGGCCTATAGTGTAAACCAAATCTTATCTGTAACCCCCAAACAGCTTCACTTGCCTGCAGCTGATTTTACTATCAGACATTGATGTCTTCTTCACCTTCACCTTTTAGACAACACAGCTGGATTAGCATGGAACAGAATAACAAAGGCTTAAAGAAAATTTGCTGCTTTACATACAACTGAGTTTCTTGGTATTGTTAAGGGGGTTGTGTGGTAGCCTCCTAATTTAAGAGGCTGGCATTTCTCTTGGAAGTGTGGTGTGAATGCACTGTGCTTTTACCAACTTGGAAGAGTGTATACCAGGTACAATTCAGCAGCCTTGGGTGTGTGACAAAATGAGGACTATTATCAGCAAACAGTATGAAAGAGTTGAGATGCTCTATGTATGTATATGATAATTAAGCAATCCCAACAATACAATAATTTTATAAATGGTCAGTATACATTAAAGGGTAACAGAATAACCAGGAAGAAATATGTGGAAAAAATCAGAATTGGTGCCTCTTTCCTAGCCTGTAAGGTTGAATAATAGATCTTGATCAAAATAATTTTCTGACAGTAAGATGATAGGTATATTAAGTATATAAAGTTGAAAAGCCAAAGTTATAAGCAAGGTGGCTTTACATAAGTACTGTCTGACGGAAGTCTTATTTGTAATTTCTCTTAAAAAAAACCACAAATGTTTACGATATTTTAAAGGTCTGAAAAGCTTTTAAAATAAAATGAACAAGTATATCTTTAGCTTAACAGATTTAAAAGGGAAAGTTGTCTTTAGATATGGCATTTTAAAAACCTAGGGCACACAACATTTAACAAACAGACTTTGTTTTCTGGATATAATTTAAGTATTTCAGTCTACATTAATTAATAAGAGTTAATTTTCTCTGAAGCAACTGCAATATACTGGTTGGCAAGTGGGAGCTGGCATTTACAATAAATGATACAGTAAGAACACCTGGTTTTCCTTGCTTAACCAAAATCTGTATCAAAAGAGATGGCTTATTAGCAATCAAACATAAAATATGGGAATCAGCTGAAAGCATGTCAGTTGTTAAAGTGCAATAGTGAAATGATCTAGCTTAGAAAATAGAGCTAATTAACTGTCACAGTAATATAAACTAAGAACACACTCATGCTCAAATTTCTCCGTAAATCCAATCCTGTCTATAATTCAAGGTGTTACAGCCTCAAAACTCTAATTTGCGTAATAAAATTAATGCACCATGTTGTATGAGTAGAAAATGGATAAAAAGGCAGACAACTTCAAGAGATCGGAAATCATGACTTTAAAACATCAAAAACAAACTTGCTATTTCAAAGCATATAAAAAGGCTAATGTATTTTAATCCTAAATATTGCACATTAACAATGATCTAAAATATCTTACTCAAAAGGAAATTTGCACTAAATATGCAAATAACATGCCAAGCGAACTTTCAGACACTGCATGTTGAGCTGCACCAGTTCTTGCTCCTCTTAGTCATTAATTCCAATGGGCTTTCTGCTTAAAACCTTGTCACTTATTTAAGTATGCATTTCCCAGTTCATTCCATGAAATCCCTCCTGTTCCAAATACAACAAAAGGTGCCTAGGGGCATTGGAGACAATGTATTTCATAGAGGAGACTTCAATGACATTTTACTTAAAAAAAAATTCAGTTATAGAGAAATAATTCTGCAGATATAAAATGTAAACAGTTAACATACACTTGTCAGGAGCAGCACCATTCTTACACTACTCAACATCCACATTGTATGTTTTATTGAAAATCAGGTATAAAAAAATGAAAGACTCAGACTAAATAATCACCACTTATGCCTGCTCTGCTCAGTGTGAAGAAACAGTCCTTAGAAAATGATATTCTATATATGGCTGTGTGCTACTATTTTCAGATGAACGGTACATATATTGCTCATTTGATACATCACCTACAGAAGTCTAAGTAGGTTTTGGAACCTCCCGACAGTTAGTATAAATATGATTATGCTACAGGTAGAATCAAATGGCCAGAAAAACCAGAACTGGTGCTCGACTGACACTCTAATAGGAAACCAGAAAGGTCCAAGGGCCCAAGGCTGCAGGAAAGGGAAAGACCAGACTCTAGACCATCACTAAGACCTCCAGCCTGAGTAGATGAACTCAGTGTATACAGTAACAGGCTCATAGCTAGAAGTGAACCATCTGTTTATTTGCATTGAAATGTATTATTCATGAAGTATCCTCTTGACTTTATGTGATCATAAGCTTTGAGCACGCCACAATTTGCAGAATTTTTACTTTACTTTTGTTGGGTGAGGTGGGAAGATAGGAAGGTGGTGGTAGACACTCAGCGTCTTCAAAGACATGCTCTGAATTATTCTGCCATTTAAATGATGGGGCTTTTGCCAAAACTCATGTAGGATTACCTGCCAATTGCTGTAACTAAATTAGGATTGGTAAGTAGCAAAAATTGGGGGGTATTTTTTTTTTTAACACGTTCATCACTTACAGTAGTTATTCCTGAATATAACTGGCTACAGGTTATGTTCTCTCACTCCTCTGGGTTATTTCATTGATAAGCACATAACCCTGAAGAACAGCATCATGAACAAAACATTTGAAATAAATTCTAATAAAAAAAACTATAAAAACCTTAAATAATTCATGATATAGGCAAGTCACCACATAATAGTTGCTTTGATAAACAAAATCTTACAAATTCAGTAAAAAAAATCAGCAGCATAAGATAAAGCAAATATGCAAAAATTTTAAACCATGATAAAATAATTAGGTTTATATTATACAGTTAATTACAGCAAAAATACAATACGGTTTTGTTGCTGTTTTAAAACACAACTTAAGTTTTAAATTACATCACTTGAAATTAAAAAAAATAAACTACTTTACTACAAAATGAATTCTACGTTTTTGAAAAATCACTCAAAAATAAGACCACTGAATTGTTTTCAAAGTAGTTCTATCAATGACTAAACGACTCCACATCCCTCCCCCCCACCCGCCCCAAGGCCCAAGTAGTCATCTACAGCAGCCCAGAGGTCCAGCTGATGCTTCTAGACTGCTGTCTGTATCCGAGGCCAAAGTCGGGTCTGTTGACATTGAAGATACATCATTGACAGATGACGATGACGATGGATGCTGAGAGCCATTGATCACTGCTGCACCTGTGCTATGAGAAACAAAACAGCAAATCAGTTGCAGACAGAGTTGCAGACCGAGCTACTTGTACTGTACTGGCTAGCTCCAGTGGTCAGTAATTTTTCTCTTGGCTTTAAAATAATCACAAGTGATATTCAACACAACACTAATTTATAAACTCTCTTCACTTGTAAGCTATGAGGCAAGAACTCTGAAAACATCTGGAAACCCTGAGTCCTGTCCTTCCTACCAATTTTTTTTTTAGTTCAAGACAAGAATTAAGTCCAAGCCACATTTAGAAATGGCCCTACAGCAAGTTTCATAAATTGGGTTCAGGCTGTGTGTGAATAATATTGATAACATATGAAAAACTGTATTATATTTTGTTGGAGAGAGGATCTATGATGTATGATGGAAAAAGGTAAAAACTACTATCCTAATTAAAAATGATTTAGGATATCTTCTCGCTGTAAAGTCCAAACAATACTTTTGGTACATCTTGTTTTAAAGTAAAAGCCAAGTCTGAAATCATTTTAAGTGCAAAGGTCTTTAGTTCGACTGCCCAGGTTTACATGAGGTTACATGATTTACCAGGGTCACTTGAGTGCCCCAGTTAGGTAAACTCAGGTCTTATTAATTTCTATTCAAATAAATACTTGATAAATGCAAATATGGATTAAATAGGTAAAGCTGGGTAAGATTTTCCTTAACTAAAAGTATAGCTTAACAAGCATTTTCTGGATTTTAAAAAGCAATAGGAAAACAGGCATGCCTTTTTATTTTGCTTTATTGTGCTTTAAGAGTGTTTTCTTTTTTCCTTCCACAAACTGAAGGCAAGACCCTCCACCAGCAAAAAGATTACAACCAGCCTCATTGTGATACTTGCTTTGTTTCAGTGGTATGGACCCAAACCCTCAGTATGTCTGAGGTATGCCTGTACTTAACCTATAGAGAAATCTTCTTAAGGTCAAACAGGGGAGGGAATAACATAGCAGAGTGGGGAATATGTTAAAGATGATCCACGCACTAGTTAAGTACTTTTGAACTTCATGATCACTAAATAAGGGTCATTCCAAATTTGAATATATTAAATAATGCAAGTTATACAAAAGTTCTTAAGAACACATTTATAAAATACAAGAAATGGTTTCTAAGATGAGAAATAAGAAGAATTTCTAGGGGTGAGTTTCTGGCACCGAACGATGTTAAAACTAAGCAGGTTGAAAACCAGTGCTCCAGAACCCAGTATTCTCAGTATTTGAAATTAATCCTCCATTCTGTCTAATTATGAGTAATAAAACACTTAAATACAAAAGTTCCTCTGAAAGCTTGTCTTCAAATGCAACAAGGAAATAGCCAGAAGAGTAGAAATAGGCAAATCTCTAGGGAACTGGGGAGGGGACTGGGAGACAGAAAGGAATGAAACCACAGGGACAGAGCAGGTAACTGGCGATGCACTGGGAAAGGAAAGCAGACTGAGTACTTCAGGCCTTGATAGGAGAAAGGAAAAGGAGAAATGTGATAACCTTTAGACCTAAGAGAGGTCCATTAGGTTCCCAGCCAGAGTGAAATGAAGATATTAAACATTTTTAAAAGTTCAGTTCATACAACAGTATAGGATGTGCCTGTTCTGATTCAAGAGTATACAATACTAAGGTTAATTTCAAAGACTTGTACTGAAACCTTCAATTCATAAAAGAATATACGAATTTTATATATACATTATCATGCCTCTATATTTTTATCCAAATTTCCTAATCTGATAAAGATTAACTTTTTGAACTTTAAAGCAGTATAGTAAATTCTCAAATATCTGAATGGCACTAATATGGAAAATCTTTCATTTCAGCTATCTGGGTCATTTCTCTCTCATGTGAGTCTCTACACTCAAATGAATGCAAACTCATTTTAATATTGGCCAAACCAAATAAAGATAAGAAGGCAATACAGTGGGGAAAAATGATGTTTCATTTTTTAAAATCAAGTAGAAATGATATTATGATTACCTAATATTTTGATGTCAAAGGCTCTTCCTTCTATTTTTGCATATAGTCAAGAACTGACCATTTTTATAACAGCTCTAGTAACATTCTTCTTTGCAAGCTAAGAGAATCCAGAAAATGTTAGAAACCTGCAGCCCTGTCCTTTCCATTGACTTATTCTGCAACCATAGTCAAGTGCTGTCTAGGATCCAAAATTTTCACTTATAAATTAAGAACAAATACAACTGCTCTCTTTATTTCATGATTTTCAGTTTACTCAAACATTCAACACTTAGGATGTACCACCTACTAGGATAGTATTGTACAGTATAAAATTCTTCCAGATAAAGAACTTTTCAAATTCCATTTGAGCCTTCACCATGAGCATTTAATTATACTATAACTGTTTATCAATATAAAGCTAATTAACTCTGCTATTAAAACATTTATAATATAGCTTTTGTTACAACTAAATTCTAGGTAAAAGCTATTGAAATCAATTTATATTTTCAACAGGAAATAGTCTGGAAGACGGCATACCTGATCAAGGATTTAAAAAACAAAAATTAAAATAAAAAAACAAAACTCTAAAATATAACCAAAAATGTTGTAGGCGGCTACAAAAATTCTTCAAACAAATGTGTTTATAGTTCAACAAAATAGGCATCAGAAATTATAGTTAAAATTCTTACCCATAATCGGATTTGTATCTGTTTATCTAATATCCAATTTTTTTCTTAGAATGTAGAAGAGTTTTCAAGGAATAACTAAAATGGCATAATTTTACTCAAACTCAAGACCTATCTGTTGAAACACTACTTGACCTTCAAGGCTCGGCTCAGATTTCATCTCTTCTATAAAACTGGCCTAACCTCTAAAGCCGTTAAGTCTCTTCTCCTAGCCAGAAGTCATATAGGATGCTGAGAAAACCATGCCCTCTGAAATTACTGATAAACACGGCTTCAAGTATTAGCTTTTCTGAGTAATAGATTTGTAATCCTTATGTCATTTATTTTTTCTGAATTTTTTGTCCCCTCATCTGTAAAGTGTGCATAACAACCTTCCTTCGGGGTCTTGAGGGCTGAATGAAATTAAGTACATAAACCACCAGTGTCTGTCACGTAGTATATACTTAATATATACATGCTGCCTGTCATTTAACTTTTCCCCTCAATTCCCTATGCTTTTACAAATACTAAAATTAAATATAAGATGAGCTTATGTTAAAAGATAATGTTTAACTCTTGCAAACCAGTTTTCTTCTTAGAGACAGAACACTTTCTGGTGGTAGTTTTAATATCACTGCCTTAGTTCAACAAATCAAAAGTACCAAAAGGAAAAAGATGGTAACTTGGTATTACATGTACCAAATTTTGTAAAGAAGCTTTAGCTAATTTATGCAAAGCAAAGACTGTTAAAGTCATAGAAAGTTTAAGTATACTGAATTGTGAGAAATTTCTTGTTTAAAAAAAGACAACAATGCCAACAAAAAAAATTCTGTTCTTCAATAGAAGGTCAGTATCATAGAAAAAGATATGCATTTGATGAATTAAGTTACTAATATATTAGTATGATGCATTGGTATGACAGCATACCAATGTTTTCCAATTTAACAACCCAAATTGTACTCCTTATACTTATTAAACTTTGAATAATAATGGTAGCAACTATAGAAAGAACTGCAGGTTTTAGGCCACTGAAGATTACAACACAAGAAGTAAACTGTAATCTTAACCAAGCTTCTATTGTAACCAACCTAAAGGAGAGGGCTGTCCTCGTATAACTCCATTCTTGGTTCTCTCCTCCAAGTCCATAACTTCCTTGTATATCAATTCTGAAAAAGAGAAGAACATAAACAAACTTTTCAAAGTCTGAGAGCCAATTTCATAAGACATGTATGTTTTAAGTAAACAATTTTTACACACATTAAGTACTTTGAACAATGTCTTCCAATGGCAAAGGGTCTGTGTCAACCTAAGAGTCAAAGGTGTTAAAAACAATTTCTTGATCCTCAACCACAAATTATGTTGAAAAGAACAAAAATCTGTCTTAACTAATGTTCCTAAAGTTGGATTAGGATAGAGCTGGGATTAGAAGCTTTATCTTTTTTACTCCACCAGCACTTTGTACTATACTGTATCATATCACATATCATTCTGTACTAAAAGTGCTTATTTAATTCTCAGTGAGGGCTCGAATCACTTGTATTATTAACTTCTATTTCCTGAGCCCTGGCATAGTATCTGATATATGTATGGGCTTACTCAGATACTTGTTAAAAGATTTAAAAGACAGAGTATGTGCAAGCCTTTTTAACAGATGGAATATAAATACATTTTATTAAAGAAAAAGAAACAGGTAGCTATACTTCAATATATGAGCTGAAGCATGACATGTTATCACTGTCAAGATTTCTCCATGGGAATCTTGTTCTTTTTCTGGGATTCTGGACAGTGAGTGGACTGCTGTGAAGACTGCTCCAAATAAAGAGTGATACCAGATACTGCCCTGTTGGTGTAAGTGGCTCTTGTCCTGTATTCTTTTAAGTGATCCCCATGTCAAGTGTGATGTGTCTTGAGACTCTGAACGTCTACTTAAGAAGAAACTTCTGGTGGATGCTACAAAGCCATTATTCATCATCTTTTCTGGGTCATGGAATCCTTTGAAGAATTGCATAAAAGCTATAAACCCTCTTCTGAGAAAAATGTGCAAGCGAAAAACATTGCACAGAATTTTAAGGAGTCTATAATTCTTTAAATTCAACTTCTGATAAAGAATCTCTGATCATAGGGTATGATAATGTTTATGTTGGTTATAAGGTAAAACAAGAGCTCGACACGCCTAAATTTGCTGGCCATGGTAACCATATTGGACTTGGAAAGAGAAAAATAGAAGTCTTGATAGAGGAAAGAATGGGAGATGATTTTCTTCAAAGAAACAAAAAAGAATGATAAGCATTCCTGAAAAGAGAACTTTTTTTTTAAAAGAGAAAATGGCACCCCTTTGTGAAAGGGGTTAAGGTAGAAAAACCAAAGCTAATTAGGAGTACTAACTAGGCAAAGCAATCTGTAGTTAATGGCTATGGCAATGGCTTTTTCTTTGTGTTATGATGCTAAAACTCTTTGGCAGATCTTGAAAAAGGCAGTTTGTAGGTAATGATTAAACTGCACTTGGGGCTAGGAGAATAAGATACAGAATAAAGTAAACATGTTTAGAGTAATCAAAAATCTCAGATATATACTTATACAAACAAAAACACTATATTTCACTGATTTTATGGTATATTTTTTAACAGTTTAATACCTCTGAAATTGGGTTGTAACTTATAACCAATGTGTTATAAGATACAACTGGCAATGTTTTCTCTTTCCTAGTGATACATTATGGTGTGCTTTACAACTGGTGGCCTATTAAGTGTCCATGAGGTACCGATAAATGTCTACTGTAAATGTAATGATATATAAAAAATCAGGTTAGATATTTTAATACAGTTAAATCTTTGTATATTACTTATTACATATATAGATGCACTAGGTTCTACTCAATTCCATCATTCTGATGGGCTCTACAGAGTCTAACTATATGTCTCCTGAAGACTACTCAGATAAAACTAATATCTGGTTATTCTTAAAAAGGAAGAATCAAATTCTTCCCTCATAAATAAATCGATGAATAACCTGTTCAGGTTTATACCTCTCCACTACCTTTTGCCTTCCCAGTATTTAGGTACTTAGTTCTTAACAACAGGTCTTCTGTATCCATTTTAAGATTAGGTTAAAAAAAGGGTGTCAACTGACTTGTCTAAAGTCATGTAGCTATAAAAGTGGTCCAAACACTAAATGACAACACAAATGAGGTAAATAGGATCTAAAAATTATATGGCCTAAATGTCCCAGGGAATCTTTTAAAATAAGAAATAGTTTAACATTTCCATGACTATCAAAGCATTATTAATGTCCAATCACATTCATAAAACAAAACTACATGTGATTGCTGGCAAAGATTAAAAATTAACTCACTTTGTTGGCGAAGGTGGGGATAAAATAGACATTCCTATATAGTGCTGATGAAGTGTAAACTGCTACAATTTCTTTGGAGAGAATTCTGGAAATAACTGAAAAATATCCTTTGCCCAGCAAATCTTGTAGGATTTTTCTTATTGGCATGTTCTCACATGTGCAAAAGAATACTGCAGTTGTTTGTAACAATGACAGACTGGATAACTCGAGTTGAATATAGAAACTGTGACACCACTGATAGCAGAATACTACCTATTTAAGCAAATGAGCCAGATATGTGAAGCAAGAGAGAATAATCTCTAAAATATATGATTACATGAATAAAGCCAAGTATGCACAGTATACAACCATTTGAGATTAAAACAGGGTGGGAGATGAGGAGGAGGAGGGGGACATCAAATACACAAGCTTGTATATTTGTAGGCTATGGAAGAACAAAAAATTCCAGAGAGCATTAATGTCTCTGTGGTGGGGGAAATGAGAGATAAGGATTAAGTCAGGGAGGGAAATATTAATAATCATATTAACAAATGTGAACTATAAATAATAAAATATTTTTAATTTCCCCAGGATGAAGAATAAAACAACATAAAAGGCCAGAAGTTCTCTCAGCTTCATCTCTAAGAATCTGGTGAATGTTACCTTTCCACTCTTCTATTGTGTGTTCCCTTTCATCTAATTGCTTGTCAGGTATCTTTGGTGGTGGCTGCAAAACATAAGGCAACAATAATTCAGTTTATTGGGAATATATAAATTCTTTATAATTATTTGAAATATTAGCCAGACAGAAAGGGTTTATAAAAATACAACAGATCAAGACTGATCACTCATCAACAACCTTTGTATGCAGAGAGCCTAGTTTTGGAACACTCCTTTATGATAGGAAAAAGGATGCTTAACCATCTTTATCTTCCAACTTTTGAAATGGTTCACACATTTTATTTATATCACAGAATTTGTTATGCTTTGAACATAGTAATTTGTTTTATAACTAAGTTAGGATGGTCTCCCAAATATTCTAGCTCATCAGATCAGGTATCAAGGCAAGAAACAGTGAGAAGTAACTTTATTTTGTGTAGGAGGTGCTTGGATATGCTTGTTAAGTTACTTTTAATACAGAAACAGAAAAACATCATCTATTATCTCTTATATTATTTAAAATTAAAATGTCTCCTCCAAACCTAACTTTTTAATTCTAACTATAAGAGGCAACATATTCTTCAAACATTAAGAAAAGAACTTACAGCTTCTGCTTCAGAAGGATCATACCAGACATTGATATATGGATGCTGGAGAGCTTCATCTACAGAGATCCTTTTAGATGCATCAATAACCAGCATTTTAGATAACAAATCCCTTGCCTGACTGGCTGCAAAAATAATAATATTAATGTACATATATCTCATATGTTTTTAAAAAATTATCAGTACATTTCAGAAACTTGAAATTATCATTTATTAAAAAGTATATGTTTTAAAAATAATAGATTTTACTATAAAATCAGGTTATACATATGATAACTAAACCCTTGCTTTGCTCCATCATCCAAAGTTATTCTTGGGCTATGTCCCATAATCAAATGGAAACACACGCACGCACATGCACACGCACACATACACAACGGGATTAAATATATATATTTATTTAAAAGTACCTTTAAGTTTGTTGTGTTCCGAATCAGCTGGGAAAAGTACATCGGGGAAGAGTTTCTCAAAGCTATATCCAGCATATTTAGGTCTGTTTTCAACATAAGTCCTTACTGTTGGTTGTAGTTTCTTCATGAATTCGGGACATGGTGTTCCAAGCTGTTCAATAACTTTATTCCACTGATCAATATCTAATATCAAGTAGCTAAGAAAAATACTCTGTGTATCTAATGTTCAACACGATCCACACATTAAAATAACAAGAAAATAACAATTTAAAAAACCCTAAGAAAGAATGTGGCAGTTATAAATTTTACAGCCACCTTGCAAAAGGCAATGCTTATAGGTGGATGGAAAGGATCAATAAACCAGCTTTGTTAACCTTATTGCGAGAGAGAGAGTGTGTGTATGTGTATGTATGTGTCTAATACCGATTTTATCATAAAAATGGAAGCTTAAACTAACAAATTCTAAATACAAATGACTCAAAGAATTTTAAACTGCACATAATTTTAGAATATAAAATTTGCCATTTTCTTCTAGCTTATCAGAAAAATGTGAATGCCTACCCTAGAGGCTAATATTTCTTATTATTTGTCTTCTTTTTTTTGAGTTGTCTATACTAACAGAAAAAACTACTAGCAATAAAAACGATGGCTTTGATAAAAATGGCATTTTATTTATTTAGCTTATGTTAATAAAGTTTTTTTTAAAGCTCTGAAAATTATGAAAATGAATCAGTATCTCAGTAAGTTGTAAGGTTATAATTCCCTAGTCTCTTCACCTGTCTTTACACCCCAAGTCTCACCTGCAGACTAAGACCTAAAGCTTTCTTATTGTAACCCAGTGCATGTGGCTTTTCCCATCTCTCTTCCTAAAATAATTATAAGTGTTTCCAGCTGATAAACACATAACAGATTACTCACTGGTAATAAAAAAAGTACTCAGATGAACCAAAAGCATGAATCCAAATCTACTCATCATCATTTAAACTATTACTGCTGAAATTCTCAGATGAAAAGATCAGTATGTTGAGAAATTAAACAACCAAAAGACATAAAAGGCATAGAAAATTAACAAAAAATGAGGCGGGGGTGGGGGACAAAACAAAAAGATGACCAGAAGCAAGAGACAATTCTAAAATTCATATTAAAGTCCTAAAAAGCACTTCTATACTTACTCAGGTGTATAGTTACTAGAAAATTTTAATGCGAGCAATGATTTTTGATTTAGGTTAAATAAATCAACTCAAAGCCAGCAAGTAATAGTGGATAATTAACTTGAGCAGTTCTCAAAATTAACATATGAAACAATCAATAAATGAGGGAAAGGAAAGTCTACGTCAAATAGCAGGTGGTATTTTTAAAGAGTAGAGCAATTTAACAATATTATTAGGGAGAGACAAAATACATTATGCTTGACCAAGTTGAAATGCTGCCATACATTTTGACCTTTAGAAATTACATTTTAGGCCAAAGATAAGGATACGATCTGTACCTGGGAACAAAACACCACCTTTGATCATTTCTCCCATGATGCACCCAACTGACCAAATGTCAACTGAAAACAAAATGCAATGATATTAACATAAAAATTTTGGTTAAAATAAAAAAAATATAAACATATTAAAAAAAATCACGCACACCATGTATACTTTAAAATTATAGAAAGCAGTATAAAATAAAAATGAGTGACAGTGAATGTGCTCTAACTACCAGCAGAGACTGTATGTCTTACTGCCAGATGCAGTCTACAAATATTTCAGCTTCTTGTCTCAACGATTTTTGAACTATAACAGCCACAAACTTTGTCTGTTTAAAAAACCCACATATATGAATGTACAATATTCATTTTCATTAAAGAACATAAGGAAGTTCATCACCTAACTAATTAAACTGCTGCAGCAGCACAAGGATACAGTCCCTTCCTGGAAAGAGGATTTTGTGGCAAACCATTTCTCCCATAATGCACCCCACAGACCATAAATCCACTATATGTTTGCAGCACAAAAGAAGGAAAAGCAAAGCAAAAGGTCATTAAAATCAAAGAAGCATAATATGACTGCATTATATAAAAAACTACAAAACATCACAAAAAGAAAAAAGTGATTTTAATTTTAGCTAATGGAATAATTAAAAACAAAATATTTTTCAAAAGGCTTTGAATCACAAAAGCAAACATGAAGTGTTGCTTTTTAACTACATATCTAATTTTAAAGTGAGAGCTATGCACAGAAATCACATGATTAAAAATTCTATATATTTCATCACTGAAAATTTGTTCATAAAATATGAAATAGAACCAAACACAAACTTTGTTAAAAAGGCTGAAAAAGTACACGAGGTAGTAAATTTAAAAAAATAAAATCTTGATATTATTTTGAGGTTCAACTGTGCATTATGCTCTCTCTTTAAGTCAAACAAAAGAAAAAAGCATGAGCAGAAAAAATCTAGTATATTAAAACGTTTAACAGAAAAAATGTTTTTTATGAACAATTATAGTTTAAAATTTAATATAAAGTTCTTTAGAAATTTTCAAACTGGATTTTGTATATTTATTTGAGAAGTGCTATGTTTATTCTAAATTAGAAGTCATTTGTTTTCTTGGCAACGTCATGCTATATTTACCCTAGTATCCCAAAAGGAACAAGTGCATAGAGAATGAACAAATGATTAAGAAAACTTAATAGAAGTATATTTTACGTTTTCCACTTAAAGTTTTTAAACTGTTTTTGATTTCAGAAGTTAGTTTTGGCTAAATACAGTATGAAAGTTCCCACTTTAAATGGGAGCTCTAATCAATGCTGAAAAAAAATTTGCTGAACACAGAAATGGGTAATTTGAGGATCTCTACCAGTTTCATTAAAACTAACAACACACTCTGATATTTTATATCTTTAGGTTTGAAAATCTAGAGTAAGTACTTGCAGTTTAATAGGAGAAGGGGAAGAATGAGCCATTTAAAAAGAAAGCCTTAGAAACTGGCAATTATTTTTGAAGTCGGAAGGTCTAAATTCTATAAGAACAAAAGAAGAAAAGGATAGAAATGGATGTTATGGATGTTAGAGTAAGATACACCCTTTATCCATGTTGGAGGACTTAGGAAATCAAAGTGTACTTTTTTTTTTTTTCGTAGGTGGCAAGTTTAATAAGCAAGGACACTTACATATGGGGTGACCACAAGACTAGCAGTTTTCCACACCCACCTATCAAATCTTAAAAGTTTACATAGAGGCCTTAACTGGGGTCAGTCACATACACAGGAAGCCCTAACTGGGTTCAGTCACATACACAGTAAAGACAGTCTCACTACCTCACTACCACATTTTCATATCAAGGATGTATCCTTGGAGCAGCTTCTGGGAGCGGGGAAGGCAAGCGGGAAACATACATTCCAAGCTCAGTGGAGGGAGTAGGGAATCTCCAATTGCCTAGGTCCAGCTTGTGTGTCAAACCAGTGGTCATGTCTTCTTGATAAAGTGTACTTTCTAATAAGGAAACTACCAATTCATTACAGAATCATAGGAGCTAAACTGGAAATAAATTTTGGAAATCCTGTGGAACTTAAGTTTCTCTAAAATTTCATTTTAAAATACGTACAAATGTTTTAATATTTATGGTATGTGATTCAACTTTCAAGGACAAAATTTTAGAGGAAAGTTAATATTCATAAATCAGCTCAGAGAATAATTTCTTCTAGGGTTTTCATTTTAGGCAAAAATCTATTATAATACATTTTATAGAAAATGGCAAACTTCAGTTAAATATCCAGGACACAAATGATGTAGGTAACTTAAAGAAAGTATTTTTAAACAGATTTTGAAAGCTGCAAGTACAGAGGTTATTGTCTGGGTCAGCAAAAACTTTCTCAGAACATGACAAACCTGGTTCACAAACAAAACTAGTTTTAAAGTGTCTAACTACTAAGCCTATTAGGAAGTTTGAATATATTCCATTATTTCATACTTTGCAAAAAAGCTTTGAGGTAGCTTGCAATAAAAGACAGTTGTTAAAACAGGTGGGGTAGGTAGGTAGGAAGGGAAGTGTCACTAAAAGAAGGAAATTCTCATGTTTAAACTTGCTGGATAATGTAGTTATCAAAATTAAGCATTACACCTGACTCAGTTTCCTGAGACAAAAAAAAAAGCAAAGTAATCTTATCTAAGACAGGAAAGTGTGTCAATTCTTTAAACATTTTTTCTTGGTGCTAATTTCTGGTAGGGAACTATCTTCCAAGATCTACATTTCCAGGACACTGACACATTACACAATATCTGTGACAATCAATGGTTTCATAGCAAATGCAAAAGCAATCTTCATGTTGGTCATTTGAAGTATCAATTCTCAAAAAAAAAAAAAAAAAGAGTCATCCTAAATCCAAGTCGCTTGATTATACAGAGTATAAGAATTTGGGGTACAGAGTAAGAAAACAAAACAGCATGTTTAAGAACAAAAAAAAAGGTATATATTTAAAGTATTTGTTTTTAATTAGCTCAGAAAAGGAAATTAAGCTAAAATCCTTAGTTTGATGCTACTTTTTATAATAAAGAATCCTGAAGACTGACTTAATAGCTTCCTGGCTGTTCCAGATTCCTTGCTAGAAAAAAACATCTAGGTTCTATTTCAGGGAGTATTTTAAATAAAGTTACCACATTAAAAAAGTTAAAGTTTAAAGTCAATAAAATCCTGTGCAGATGTACTCATCTCCTAAATGTCTGGGACTCACTAAAATTTCTTCTTAAATATAAATGTGTATATATTTTTTAAAAAAATTCATGAGCTTCATGAAGATAATTTTCTTCAATCTTGATTCTAAAGTTAATAAATATAATTCAATATATCCACACATAGTAATGCTATTTTTTTTAAGGGTTTTGATGAAACAGCTTCCTGCAAAAGGTCCCATTAATTATCCATCAGCTTTGCAGAACAGCTTTACTGTACCTCTTAAAAGTTTACACTAAGTGCTATTGCTATTAACTTTAGTTTCAGGGGAATGGAAATATGAGCAAATATCACTAACAGCCCACCAGGATTACAATTAAAGATGAACTGTTAGTCTACTTGAGTCCATCTTACAAATACTCATTTTCAAGTTATAGAAAAGTAAATGGCATATATTGTTTCAGGGGCCATGACAATAAATTCTTTTTCCAATGGTAGTGTTGATGGTTATGTATTTGTATTTAAATAAACAAGGGCCCCAAGTTTTTCCAAACAAAATTTATAGTTACTTTCAAACTCCTGATAAATATATCAAACAGTGTCATACATTTAACTCTAAGCGCCTTGGCTTAAATATTTACATAAGAAATCAAACAAAAGCAAACAAATCAGAATAGTATTTCAAGTAAAGTGTTTGCTGACCGTTTTCTTTGTAGCCCATTCCTAAGATGACTTCTGGTGCTCTGTAGTAGCGAGTCACTACGTAAGGTGTCATCATAAAACTAGTTCCAGCAGTCCTGGCCAGTCCAAAGTCAAGAATCTTCAAAGTGCAGTCTGATTTTACTACTATATTACTGGGCTTTAAGTCCTTCAAAAAATAAAAATAAAAAATTACTGCTATGATATATACAAATACTTTGCCATTCACAAGTTATCAGACCACTAGTAAAACAATTCATGCTAATTATTTCCCTCACCATAATTGATATTATTGGAGAGATTCATCATAATAGGCAAATTTTAGAAATTAGTTTGATGGCATTTTAATTTTTGAATACATAGTTATTAGAGAAGTAATGTTTTATTTGCTGGGAATTTTGATTAGCTGGCAATTTTTGATCAAGTAGAGTAAAAGTGATTTGGAGAGGCTTCTAAAAGCTCTTGTAAGAACTATTATGAAAAAAGAAAGAGAATCATCAGTTAGCATTTATATTTGCTGATATACTAAATTACCGGCATTTTAACAAATCTCATTTTAAAGTCACAATAAATTTTATATAGATATCACAAATCAACAATGGATCATTCTATGTCAATTTAAGCAATTTTCGTTTGACCTTTCAAACTGGCAGGTAGGTGTTCAATTCTAAAGAACTAAAATAGTCATTAGCAGTCTTTCTGTCACTGATTTCCCACCTCAAATCACACAAATTTGTTCATAAAACTTTTGTCTGCTTACAGAGGTAGGACAGCATTGTCTAGGTGCCAGTAATCTATAAAATTACTTGCTGTTGATGCTACTAAATAATACTTTGTTAAGAATTTTCCATGTGACCCCAGGAATTCTGTGCTATGATCACTAGAAAGAAGGCAGCAGCATAAACACTCAAGGCTTCAAGTTTGACACATTTTGCCTGTTAGTACCAATGAATCCTATTATGAACCAAGAGAACAAGGAAAGCAAGCATATATCCACAAACACATTTCATTATTAGTACTGACATGCAGTACATACACTGAATAACAGTGATTAATGGAATAGAAAAAAAAATGCTGGCTCAAAAGGCAATGATTACTTTTGTAATGTCTATATCCAGAAAAACATGTATGTAGTCTTTAACATATTTTGATAGGCAATCATGGATGAACTTTAAAGATATGTAAACTAAGGGCTTTATCAAATTAAAAAAAAAAAGATCAAGAGGCTTAGTGAAACAAAAGATTAAAATTTTCATTATTGCTATTCTGTAAATATACTGTTGCCACTATTTCCAAAATACAATATCTCAGCAAAGTAAAACTGCACGTTCAAGAATAAATATCACAAGCTTTGATATCACTTCCACATCTACTATGATAAAGATTAATGACTCTTCATACACTCTAGTCTAGAAATAAAATTCTAACCTTAAACACTTTATTTTGGAAAACTTAAGAGCAAAATACACCTTTTTAAAAAATAGATATTTAAAAAGTCAAAAAAATGCCTCAGAGAACAGTACCTAAAATTCATCATTGTATGTCAATATGTACTTTTTTACAGATGTTAGAACCATTGCCAACTACATGAGAAAAATCACTGAATTTGTATGCATTTGTGGCAGAGGCAGTAAAACTAACCTAGTAATATTCAATCTTTTCTCTAACGTATTTCCAGCCTCTTCAAGTTACATGCGTAGTTAGTTAGGCAAGCCTGTTCTAGTCGATGGAATGTGAGCAGGAGTAAAAAACAGAGGGCATCCTGATGTTCCCTTGTTTTGGTGATTAGTAGCATTCCAGATAAGGAACCCTCTGTTAACCTGGGTTGCTGAGCATCTATGTAAAGCAGAGTCTTCAGCCATCATGACCTGCAGTGGACATGCAGTGTGGGAAATAAACCGTAGTTGTGTTAAGCCACTGAGAATTCAGGGTTTATTTGTTACCTCTGCATAGTCTACTTGTGACATTATGATTTGTAATAAGAAATATATATTTGGTCTTTGCCTCAGTTACTGGCTCTTAAAACCTTTAAAATTTCCTAAGTGGTGAGAGCAATAAAGGTGAAGAGTGCTTTTTGTTATTCATAATAGGACCCTTCAACTAACCCTAAGTTTATGTTAATGAGGTCACTTTTGGAAAGCCCAAATGGATGGAGGATGGTTGCCAGGTGAACCAACAATGTGATCAGATGTTAGAACTTTCGGCCCCACCCCCAGACCTCCTGCGAGCAGAGAAAGGCTAGAGATTAAGTTCAATCACCGATGGCCAATGATTTAATCAATCATGCCCATGTAATTAAGCCTGCATAAAAACCCAAAAGGACAGGATTCAGAGAGCTTCTGGTGAACACTCGGAGATTTGGGGAGAATGACACCCAGAGAGATCATGGAAGCTCCACACCCCTTCCCACATAACTTGCTCTGTGCATCTCTCAATTTGTCTATTCTTGAATTATGTACTTTCTAACAAACTGGAAATCTATTAAGTAAAATGTTTTCCTGAGTTCTGTGAGCCACTCTAGCAAATTAATTGAACTTGAAAAAGGGGTCGTGGGAAGCTCCAAATTATAGAGTAGGTCAGAAGCACAGAAACAACCTAGGCTTCTGATTGGCATCTGAAGTAGGGGCAGTCTTGTGGTACTAAGCCCTTAACCTCTGGGATCTGATGCTATCTCCAGGTAGATAGTGTCAGAATTGAGTTAAATTGAAGGACACCGAGCTGCTGTCCAGAGAATCTGAGAATTGTTTGGTATAGGAAAAACTACCAAACATCTGGTGACAGTACAGTAAACACACAGGACTGTTTTTCCGTTACACTAGTCTATTCTGACTAACACTGAAATTGGTGCCAGGAGTGGGGTGTTACTATTATATAAACACAGGATCATAGCTTAGCAGCAGGGAAACTAATCATAATAAAACTAATAATCCAGGTTATATAGTAGCAGTACATTTCATGACACTGTCACCTGCAATAACCTGGAAAAGCACAGCACTTGCATAATGAACTTGGAGCTCTAGAATAGAAATTGGCAAATTAAGGCCTGCTTGTTTTTGTAAAGAAAGTTTTACTGGAACACAGCCACACTCATTCAATTACTTATTGTCTATGGCTGTTTTCTGTTACAATGGCAAAGTTGAGCAGCTATAACAGAGACTGTATATCATTTGCAAAGCCTAAAATATTTACTATCTGGCTTCGCCCTTACAGAAAAAGCTTGCTGACTCTGCTTTAGAAGATATTGGAAAGCAAAACTTTAGTAGTGTATGTTGGTGGCTATCGGCTACATTTGAAAGAATTAGCCACTTTAAAAAGAGAAATGAAAGAGAAGAATGGGTCTAGAATTTCAGGGCCTTGCCATTCTGGAAAAGCTAAATGCCATCAAACACTTCAAAAACAAAAAAAGGGCAGATTGTTCAAACATCTCCCCCTCTCAACCCAGGTATATTTTTTTATCTTATTGATGGGCCTAGTCAGATGACTTGTTTCAGCCAATGGAGTGCGAAGGAATGTGATGGTCATCAAATCTAAAGAGAAGTTTTAAATGTGCTTGCTTGATTTAGCTTGGCTCTTGCTCTTCTATCTTTCACCATGAGAAAAAAAAAAAATGTGCCCCAGGAAGGTACTCCTTTAGCCTGGATGCTGAAACCTTATCATGTAACAGACTCTGAACCTGACTGACCCCATGATCTGGAACAGTGCCACAAAGCCAACCTACAGATCTGAGTAAGCAATAAATGCTGCTTTAAGTCACTGATACCTTGGATTTGTTTCTGAAACATCATTTTCACAAAACAATTCTAAAAGCCTTTGAGAGAAAAAGACATAAAATCTTTCAACTGATGAAACTACTTCAGACTTGCCAACAGAAGCCTGAAAGCTTAAAGTTAGACATTAAGTCCAGTGACCTAACAAATGTGCTCTGAAAAGAACTGTAATTAAAAAGATAAAAAGCCTCCTAAGTTTCAGAGAGAGAGCTATACTATCATAAAAACTTGACAATTCTGTGGCTATTCTAACCTTAAAACGGTGGTTCTCAATTCAGGACAATTTTGACCCCAAGGGATATGTGGCACTGTCTGGAGACATCTTTGGTTGTCACACTAGGAAGTACTACTGGAATCTAGAGAGCAGAGGCCAGGAATACTGCTAAACATTTTACAATTCACAGGACAGTCCCTCAAAAGAAATAATCATTTATCCAAAATATCAATAGTATCTAGGGAGAAGGGCTGCCTTAAAGTGACATTTGACCTCTCATATTTTACAGACAGGAAGCTGAGAAGCTGAGCAGCCCCCAAGAAGAGCACATTTCCTAATACCCACTTCATATATATTCAAGGAGGACAGTGGAAAAGAAAGGCTCTCCACAGATGGAAACAGGTACCACAGAGAACAGTGGACATAGCACGCCTCGCAGAGATCAGAGTCAGGGCCTAATCAAGGAATATTCGCTGCTCCAGGGCAAGGGACACTCACAATGTGTGCCCAAGAAAATTTCATATCACAAAGAGCCAATATTGCATTTTTAAAATTCCCAAATGGGACTGTTTACTGTGGTTACTTGGCCCTGTTTGACCATCACATCTAGGAGATGGCGCAGGGGAAGGGAATGGCCAGATAATTTGGTCATTTTAGTTCCAATGTTTTTGGACCAAAAAGAGCCATATCTAGATTAGATGTAGACATTACCAAGTATCACCTGGAACTAAATGCCTTGATGGAATAGGACTTTGGGTTATCTTGTCTAAGGAGGGGATAACTGTGGAATAAAGGGAGCAAAGGAATTTTTCATAACCAGAAGGGTAGACTGTGGCAGACACTGGTACTCACCACCATTCTGAAGTCTGCCTCTCCACGTTTCCCATTCCCTTACAACTGGGCAGGTCCTTATGACTAGTTCTGACAATGGGCTTAGAGAAGTGATGTGTTCATTTCCAGGCTAAAACACAGAAGAGCCAGCACACACCACCTGGCTTTCTTTTCCCCTGACATAGTGACCAGCACCTATCTAGATGGTGGAGCCTCAATCAGCTTTGGTCTCTGAGTGACTATGTAGAACCCCATCTCCCACCCTGACTTATATTAAACCTCTAAAGGATGAAAGTTCAGGTTATTTTACTGAGTAAACAATCTCAGATTAGCAGAGATATTAGCTAAGGGTAAGAG